CTTGAGGGATCCAATGGGCAGCTGATTTGCTACCATGTGTATGGAGGGCTAGACTAGATGGACCTTTGATCTGATCCAGCATGTCTGGTAACATTAGTTAGTCATGGGAAAGAAGCATTATATCTGTATTGTTCTTGGGTTGGATTTTTTCCCTTTTATTTATTAGATGGAATGTAGGAGAAATATTTGTTTTTCTTGGTTTTTGAATAAGCATCAAGAAATGCAGTTTGTGCATCTACTTGAATCCTGTTTAATGGATTCTTTGGCATTCTGAAGTCTCTCTAGATGGACTGTTCAGGAATAGTAGAGAACGTAGAATATGTACATTGTATTTTCATGGTAAGACCAAAATAAGCTGTGTAGATTTCAAAAGTGCCATTTAAGTAAGTTGTCAAGGTCTACTATTTTGTTTTTGAATAGAATTGCCATTAGCAGAATCACAATTTCCTTATTTACTTGGGTCCTGGACCATTTTACAAGTTCCAAGGACTTTCTGAACTGCTATTGCTGCAGTGCTCACTACATTGTTATAAGTATGTTTCTAAGGTTTTATTACACATTGTGCCTTTCAGATTTATGAAAGGAAAACAGTGTTCTGCTTGTTCCAGTTTGTCTGTCATTTCAAAGATGTTATTTTTCCCAAGCCAAGAAAAGAAGAATGAAAACAAACCTTGAACAGACCAAGTTCATCCAATTAGTTATTAACCTTAAAAATCATTTACATGTTCTTAATATTTTGCTTATATGTCTATAAAATACATCCCCCCCAGATACTTAATGTGTTCTGATGAAGACTGGAAGATAGTACCCAGTACTGATAAACTTCTGCCTGGGAAGCCACCTCATGTTGAAACTCTTTGATAAGGGGACTAGGACTATCTTAGGAGAAGAAACATTGCTTTGACAGGATACCAGATGTTCATCTCATGTGTGCTAAGTTATCATAATCACTCTGACTATTCTGGTAATAGATAGGATAGATAGTTACCAGAAATTCTGTAAAATACATCAAAACACAGAAGCTCTATAAAATACACAAATACACAAGTTCTATAAAAGGATGAGATTATTACAAAAGTTACTATTAAGATTAAAATAACAGCTGCCAGCAGACTGTACCAACAAGCATTATATTGGGATTCATATAATATATATCAAAACAATACAATAAAGATAAGGCAGTGAAGAAGCAGGCTGGAGTCCTGGGAATTGAGGAAATATGACAGATTTCCACCCCCAAACTGGATTCCTCATACATCTCTAGTTAGGTATTTGCCATTATTAAATGTTTGAATTAGATCTTGATTAAATTGGGCTTATATATAAATTTCTGATGATTGCTTTTCCCTTTGACCCAAGTTGACTCTTCAGTGCTGTACTAGAACCTCCATGTTATTCAATGGAAACAGTTATTTTACTCCATTCCTACCATCAATATTTTGCTTATCTGATCTTTTACCCCAAAGCATTCTTGTATTCTTGTTTGTCCTGTCATTCAGTTTCACCACACTTAGCTGTTTTAACACAATCCATTTTCTGTATGATCTTAAAAAGCAGGATAAAATTTATACTTCCACACTCATTTCTCATGGAAAAGAGTGGCAATCCTATCAACAATGTTGATGCGAAAATGAAACTCCTTTTCCCCATCATCCCAGAACAGAGGGGTCTCTTTCTTTCTGTTCTTGATGAGATCATCTAACCAAAGTCCAAATTTCTCACTCAGCATTCTTGCTATTAATCCTAGTATCTCCTTCATACCAGCTACTAAATACTTAATTTCTAGAACAGCATCACTTACATGACAATCACAGACATCATGTTTGCCCTGGGATTCTTAGCGTTATTTACATGCTGTTTTCAAGATTTACTTCCAGCTAATTCTTATCAAAATAACTGAATATAGGTAGCTTCTCAACCATGGAATTATCTACAGTCTTCTCTTATATTTCCCTCCTAGTAGTCAGCTCTGCATTTTCTAGGGTATTCCTATCAAGGGGGGTAAATATCTCCCTTCCTATTTTCATGTTTCCAGTAGCCAGCTCGCTAGTTAAATAGCTATTTAAACAGCTACTTCCCCAAAGTTAGTCATTTGTTGTAGACATAGTTAACAAATCAATGAGGTTTATACCTTAGTGGGAGGTGAAATACTGTGTTTTGTGCTAGACACTAATTTCCCATGGTGTTCTATGAAGTCTGCCATCTTGGCATGCAATATCTTGCCCTCTCTCTCCACTGTCATTTTGCCTTACTGGACTATTTTCTTGACAGTGAAACGTGAACATCCTCAGCATAGTCTATTGGTTTAATAAGTTACCTGTTGGCTCATCCATTCTTTTTTTGAGATCTGAAATTGGAGTTATAACCAGTGATATACTGTTCCGCACCTGTTTAATTACTGGAGAGCACAGACTAAGATCAGATACCATGTCGTTGGCATAGTCATCAATACATAACTGTTCCACTTCAATCATAATACCATGTTTCCCCGAAAATAAGACACTGTCTTATATTTTTTTTGTTCAAAAAAAGCATTAGGTCTTATTTTTGGGTAGGTCTTATTTTGTTAATGTACAAAATGTACATTTAATGTACACCCTTCTGCTTGCACTTTTCTGCTGTGCACGCTTCTGCTCTGCACTCCAACTGCTGCCAAAAGCTGTATACACCGATCCTCTCCTGCGCCTGCTACCGGTACTGTCACAGGCAGCGGAGGAAGCAGAGATGCATGAGCCGATGCTTCCTCTATAGTGCCGGCTCCTGTGACAGGCGGAGTGCATTTGATATCACTCCACCCTTCACAGGAGCCACGACTGTAGAGGAAGTATCGGCTTAAGCCGCTCTGCACTCCTCTGCGCCCTCTGCACCACGCTGGCACTCTGCAAGTAAGCAAAAAAAGTAAGACCTATTACCAATAATTTTTGGTAATAGGTCTTACTTTCGGGGTAGGGCTTATATTATAGGACCTACCCTGAAATAAGATTAGGTCTTATTTTGGGGGTAGGTCCGATTTTCAGGGAAACACGGTAGTATACAGCAATGTACAGTAAAACAAGGAAACTGAAAAAAAAAATCTGCTGAGTCCTGATTAAGCACAACAGTGAGAATAAGATTGTGATCATACACCTTGAAGCAAGTTTGTTTCAAGGGAAAACGAGGAATAGTTAAATCCAACTTACTTGTTAGAGGAAGACCACAATAAACCACATTGCTGCAAAACACCATTTATTTCATCCAGGTAGCAGTTACAATACTGAAAACAAGTAAACTTAATGAAAGGCCCAAGACAAGCAGACAAAAAGACCGTGTAGGAGCAGGTCCTCTTCTCAATCACAGCCAGTAGAAAAATTAAGCTTTTTCCTCAGTCTAGATCTTCTTAGCTTTCACTTTTCAGCATTTGATCTTCAGCTATGGAGGTTTCAATTGCTAAGTTAGTTTGCCTTTCCAAAACCACAGAGAATCACTAACAAAGCAAATATGATGAATGAGCAAACATTTTCCAAAGCGTGCCTCAAGGTTGCCTCTGAAGTTTCTCAGTTTCAAACATGGTTCCTCATTAAGGCAGTGAATTTAACAGCTAGAATTCTTGTTCGTTTCGGCAGTTCTTCTTAACTTTGTTCTTTTATCCACTCTCATAGAATATTTGTTGTGGAATTTTTGAAAGCAAGAAATTTCAAGCAAAGCCTTCATGCTAGATGGTCAATTACTTTATCACTATTACAAAAACAGTTTGGAATACGCCTCTTCTTGCTTCCCCCATCCTTGTAAAGGATGTTTGAGCATGTTTCATTCTGCTTCCAAAAATTCACTATGCTTTAGAAAGGTTTAAAATACTTGGGTAAATAAAAAGGTTTTAGTGTGTGAAAGTCTTGGGTTCAGCATCATGCATGTCTCCCCAAGAACATATAAAAAGACAATATATAAATGTAATACCATGGAGCCCAAAGTTATCTGTTTTATCTGAAAAGTTCCTATACTCCTATATCGCCCACCTCACTTCTGAAGTGGGAGCTATGGAAGGACCTTTGAAGTTGAGATCTTAATACTTTGATCAGAAGATACATAATGCAGCAGCCTTACCAAGCAGGTTGAGGTCTTGTCAGGGCATGAAAGGAAAGCAGCCTCTGTACACTGCTATAAGTACAAAGAATGGTGGACTATGAAAAATGTAACACAAAAATGGCTAGGTTGACTTGGTGACCTGATCTCTCTAATCTTTGCACTCGTTACTTAGAGTTCTTGGAATCAAACTCAAGCACTACTAAGACTAGCACATCTGCAGCTTTTAGTACTGGTTAACTGAGACTGAACTCATACTGGGCTTAGATTTTCGGGGGTGGGATCAAATTGTCTTCAGCAATAAAAGGAAATCATTATCTTCACCAACTTTGTAAGGTTCGGTTAAAATATCACTTTCAGCTGCTTGAAAGCAGGGCACAATGCAAATGCAGTAAATAAGAGTAATACAGAAAGTGCTCCCTTTAATGGCATCTTAAAGGATCTCTCAAAATACGTTCCGGCCTCAATAAGAAACATAGGTGAAAAGCTTTGTATAGGAATAAGGGCTATTCTGCCTCCATTGACAGGTACTGAATGCTGTGGCGCAGCCTTCCTGTACCTGGAGCATGCTGGGAGCTGTAGTCTAGCCCATCTGGAGGTTACCCTCTGGGGCAAGGCTGCTAAAATAGCCACTTGTATGTTTTCAGCTACTGCAAAGCAGTCCGTCTCTGCTGCTTGCCGTTAACCCGCTGGGCCTTATCTGCTTATGTCATCCAAACCCAGCAATGTTCTCATGTGGTGTCTTATGTTTTCCTGAGAAAATGGGCCTGTATAATTAAAGCACAGCTATTCCAAGAGTTTTGTGAAGAAACATAAGACTGATCACCTTGACCATTGGTGAAGCTGTTTACAACATTAGTCTTTCAAGTCTATATTCAATCCTATTAGTATATTTGTGTATTTGGTTTGTGTATTAGCTATAATGTAATTTTGTTTTACAGGGAAGAAACACAAAGTTGAATTTCAGCATTTAATTGACCAAATGAATAAGAGAAAGAAAAATGTAAGTAAAATCAAAATGGATCCAAAGGAACCACTGCAGAAAAACGCATCCAGTGAAGAACTTCCTCTAGATACTGGTATGAAATACTGATTTACAATGTGGAATAAAAAATGGGTATAATGTCATTAAGGAATGAAAGCCAGATTTCTAAAACATTTGTCCAAATTTAAGTTGGATGATTATTTTGCATATTCATGAATGTCCAGTTCAGGATGATGCTTATCATGATGTCCAATTCTGACAAGGTTCAGTTGTTGTTATGGTTAACAAACCTTCCTCAACTCATGGAATGTTTTGGGTCTGGGGGTCATTCATTAACCACAGTAACAACTCACTCTGTACCAGATAGTATATGGCTATCTTTCAGGTATAATTATCAACCATGTAAATACTGTTGTATGATCTTTTTGGTTATCTTATCAGCCCCTGAACGGGGATATTTTTATTTATTTATTTATTTATTTATTTAAAACATTTCTATGCCGCCCCCATTGCAACAAAGCCTTGGGATGGCTCACAAAGAATACATAAAAACATACATAAATAATAATAATATAACAATTTAAAAGAAAAAAACATTTAAACCCCCCCCCGGTGCATTCTCAGCTAAAAATTTTAAAATCCTAATTAATTCAATAAGCAATTAAAATAAGTTCATGGAATTTTAATTTTAGGATCGGTCCTGAAATGTGTGCTGTAGTTTAGTACAGAGATGGTTGAAATATAAGAGGTGGATTGAATATTATTATGTCAAGCCCTCCTCTGATTCACTATTCCAAATAAGCTTACCACACACTTATCAGCCAGATATCTTTTATTTACAGCAGGGAATTTGCTGAAATCATAAATCTACATTAACTGAATCATTTCAGTCAATATCAAATTCACCACGGACCAGTGAAACTTGTATGCTTCCTGTCCCTTTCGTCCATTCCACTTTAAGAGCAAATCACAGTTCTGTTTATGTTTATTCTTAGGAATATGGTTTGTTACAACCAAAGTGGATCAATATGAAACAAAAACAGTGGTTTAGGATCTTGGGCTTTTAACTTCAGTTAAAACAATTATCAGAGCTGTCCCACCCTGTTGTGAGGTAACTCACGCTTCAATTAACCCACACAGCAGACCGTATATCAGCTAAAAACTTTTATTGCTACTCACTACAAGACTTACGATGTAACTGATAAGCTCCACTAACGAGCTCCCTATTGGCCACAGTTGCTGCTTCTTTCTGAGTTCTCTTCAAAAGCATCACGTGGCATCAAACCTTCCTGTCTCGTCTTTCCGCCCATGGGTGTGACAGACCCCTGTCCCTTTGTCGTAATTGGGTCTGTCGCGTTAAGACTCTCCTATTTTGGGCATGTGCCAAACTCTCCGTCATGTCTTCTTGCCCTCCTGAACTCTGTCCAGCAGTTTCAGAGCTAGGAGCCCGGGGGGGGGGGGCACCTTCCTCAGGCAGCCCAGAGCTAGAATCAGAGGGAGCGACTCTTTCAGACGCTTCCCCATCAGCCTGCGGGGGGGTTGTATGCTCAGGGGCCGAGGGATGAGGTGGTGGAGAGGTTTCTTGCTCAGTAGCTTGAGAGCCAGGCTGTATATGGGCTGTCTGGGCACTGGTTCTCAAATATAAGTCTCCCTGGTCCATTGCCAACCTCTCACTGTCAGCTCCTGCCTCTTCCTCACGAGTGGACGTCTCTGCCGAGCCATCAGGCACGACACACCCGTAAAGCAGGATGAGGCATTCCTTCCTCAGGTGGTAGACAGGAAGGAGCAGGAAATTGTACAATCACCCCTTCCCCATGCCAGGAGGCCTCTGCTCTGCAACCACCACCAGCAGGTGCTTTAGAGAATCCAGCCAGCTGCCTTTGTGCTTGTCAGCTGGAACACGTGTGGGGCATTTTGCAAGGCCCCTGGCATCTCTTGCTCTCTTCCTGAAGTTCAGGATCTTGGAGGACAGAGCTGTGTGCATGCAAGGTAGCCAAACCACCTAGATGTTGGGGAGGACACTATCCTCGCCCCACTTTTGAAGTAAGATTCAGCTGCCAGTCTAATCAGCTTCTGCATATGGGATGGGAGTAGAGAAGCAATTCTCTTGAATGATAGAATTTATCTTCACCACATGTGGCAAATTGTCTTGGGGCAGCTCAACTCATTACAATCATCCTGTAAGCCTGGGGTCCCCAGCGTGTTGCCTCTATCTCTCTTGGCATGTTCCGGGCTCCCTGTTTCCCTGGTTTTATTTTAAAAATCATGCTGTTGATCACAGCTGGCTGGATGGATGGCAAGAACACAGCAAAGCAAAGGTCTGCCTTCTGTTATCATCTTTATTGGAGATCAAAAGAGCTCGTTTGGTCCTTAGAGCTCAAACCCCATCTCTGCCTCGAACTTGGGTTTCTAGAGAAGCTACATTTCACCATTGGGCTTCTGGGAAATGAGGGGTTTCTGGTTGGACTTGCCCTCCAGGATAGTCAGTTGATGGGTGAGTCACACACGTGTGCACCCAACTATTTTATGGATGCGCTTGCAGCATTCCATCAGCATATGCAAACATGCTGCACCTTGATGCAGAGCCTGGCAGGGTGGCCAGGGAGGCAGGCACTCCCTCGCTGGAGGAGCTCACCCTGCCCAGGCATACAAATACCAGGCCCCCAGCCAGACCAAGGGGCCATGAAGAGCGGTGGCATGAATGCATGCAGTAGCAACAACAGTGGCACTGCCCCGGCGCCTGGCTGCCCAGGATGGCATTGAGACTTTCTGTCACTGGGGAGAGTAAGCGCAGGGTGGCCCTTCCAGGGTGCGGTGAGCCAATGCAGGCCACCCCGAGGGTTGTTCCTTCCCTCAGATGCCTGCAGTGGAACTCCCACCCTTTCAAAGTGGGCCGGTGTTTTGGGGGCCCCACCCTTTCCCTGTGGTTGTTGTGGGCAATGCCCACCCATCCAAGCCCAGGGAAGTGCTGTGGGGAAGGGGCGCTTTGTGCCCCACGGTCATGCTCCATTTACACGGTTGCAGTGCGTGTACTTGAGATGGCCTGGAGGGGGAATGGAAGCTTTGAGTAGCAAGAAAGCCACAGAACAAGGTCTCAGGGGCCTTATATGGCCTGTGAGCCACGTGTTGGACAACCCCAGTCTAAAGGATCTCATTTCATTTCATTTTGGTTTTGAAAAATCATGTGCATCTTAGTGATCATCCATTTGTCCAGCACTTGTCTTTTCTACATCTTGCAGTGCTTTCTCCTGTATGTTGCAGTCTCTGTGGCATCAGTTCCACATGTGGAAAAATGGTCTGAGTTATTATTATCCGTAATATGGACCAGAAAAATTAATTATTATTGTTTTTATTGCATTTATGCACAGGGTTGTTTTTGATCGCATCTCTAGAAAAATAATTTTGCATTTTCGTGCTGACAGTTGGGTTCATCTAAGTTATCTAAATCCCAGTTCTTCTCAAGTTAACAAGATGGCTTTGCTGGCCTGTCAGTGGCTCTTGACCTGTTTTCTTTACTAAAACCCTCATGAATAAAAATAAATAGAAATACCAAGATGCTTTTTGGACCTTATCACTGACATCTTAGGCAGCACTTGAAGCCAAAGCAAGCTTGAAACTCTTCCAAGAGTAAAAGTACTTTTAGCCTATCCAGCAATAGTTTATCTTTCTTTGCATATTCAAAATATTATTTGATGGAAGAATCCCAAACAAGCATTAGTCTCTATCTTGAAACATTTTTAGATGGATAGTTTTAGAAAACCAGAAAACCTTTTAAGACTTTTAGTTAAATATTCAGTGTTATATTCTATACAATAGATGTAAAGGAGAGATTGGACTTTCACACATTAGACACTTATGTCAGTGCAGTGGAAAAATCTGGACAAACCCACTCAGCAGTTTCAGGTAACATACGGGTAGGTGGGAAAATGACCCCTACGGAACCCAGTGCAGGAGAATCTATAGGACTGAGCAGTACTCTTTAAGTACCACCTTCTAGGGCCAGTCATCCAAGTAGGAACCACTGTAATGCAGTAGCTGGCTGCTTCCCTGTCTAGCTCAGATAGTCATTGAAATATGTCAAGAGTGTCACATTGCCTCTGTTTTGCTTCCAGTGTTGCTCATCATACAGTGTGTCCAGGACTGTTTCCATGCCAAAATGCAGCCTGAACCTTGACTGATTTGGATTTATGTAATTGGTCTCACCCAAGAGCATCTGGAACTGGCTAATCACCATTCGCTCAAGGACCTTGCCCAGGAAGGAAGCCTCAGCCATGAGTTTATAAAGAGCTAAGCAGGGCTGTCAGGAGCAGACCCTTTTGGAAGGAATTCATTCATAGGGTTGCCATAAGTTGGAGGTGACTTGATAGCCTGTCAGAATAACAAAGGTTCTTAAGATCTTCTGGGCGCAGAGAGAATTTCTTCAGGAATGGTCCTATCACTGCTTCTTTCAAGCAGCATGGGAGGTATTAATGGCTCACAAGGAGGCGTTAATCACCTCCCTGCTTGCCAGCTGTTTCCTTCTTGCTTGTATAAGCCAGGAAGGACAAGGGTCCAGTATGGATGTGGCACATGAAACTGTCTAAACACCTTGTCACCCATCCTTCAACAATATCAACTAATAAACCACAAGAGGTTTTAGGAGTCAAAGAGTTCAGCAGACAAAATTCTAGAGCGGATAATAAATCCAGGAGAAAGAATGTGTCATTAGTCCAATTGATGACAGAGTGACTGGTTTTGGGGAAAGACTTGGGCAAGAGTTCCAGAGTCATGATACTTGTTGACAGCATAGAGTTTTCTGGTTACATAAAAAGCAACCAAAGCATGTTCAGTAAAAGGAAAAGCATAGTAGATGAGAAAGGAGCGTGAGAGAGTAAAGGAGAGAGGACTCTAATAAAGTGGGGGTATAGCTGATAAATTCATTAATAGCTACTCTGTCTCAACTACTGCATTTGATCTGTTCCTCATCAATACATCAGATCCCAAATTATCTCTTCTTTGCCCTCTTGGGCTGCTGCAGCTGACTGAATACATTAACATTCTCCTTCACTTGTGCTTGGTTCCCATGGAAGATTTCCTAGCAGTACTTTGGAAATAAGCTCAAGGCCAAACCATAGCTTTTAGAGAAGGCCCCATGTATCCTTGGGGCTTTACTCTTCCTTTTGCTGTAATCAGCTGGGAAGTTGAACTGTCACTGCATTCATGATAGCTACCTTCTCATGCTTGTCCTAAATTCTGCATGGTGCTTACTAAAAGCTGAAGCAAGCATCAATTCAGAGGCAACGAGGCCTACTCTACAGGGCCAAATCCTTACAGATACCCTTGTTTTGCCTCAGCTGTATGATGAACCGCTTTGGTAGTTTCTAAGAAGATCTTCGATCTTGGTTCTCCAGCTGTAAAATGCTGAATATACTTATTTGCCTTATATATATATATTTATAAGAATAGAATGTGAGTACTCTTTGCAGACTAAACTGGCTTGGATTCTAGCTTCCACTTGTGAAATATGACTTTGTGTTGTCCCCTTTCTGCTTCCAGTCCCATACTGTACCAGGGGGTGCCACATTCACCAGAAATTGCTTTTCAGGAAGGCTGAAAAGCAAAAATCGAGGGCCCTTCCTTCCATGAGCAGAATTTTTTCCCACCAGGGAATGGCATTTCTGCTATGCAGAAATCATACATCAATTGCTACAACAGTGTCTAGTAATAATAATTAATTAGCTATACATCTTTTTAGAAAAGCATCCAGTTTACATTAGAGTTTAAAAAAACTTCAGAAGAGCATGACTTCTGTGTTCAATGACTGTAAGGGGAATAATTCATGTTCATCACTGAGAGACAGAGCTGCTTCATTTTGTAGGCTTGGTAATTTCTCTATGATGAAACATCTTCTGAGAGCAAATATGTCTCCCATGGACACACACCTGTATAGCAATCATTTTAGTTTTATTTGTTGTAGTCGACATTGGAAAAATCTATTTTTGTAATTTCTTTTTCATTTCAACTGTTTGTGTAGAGTGTTTTTTTTAAGATTAGAGAAATGATTAAAACTGTTGTTGAAGTATAGCTGTAGTAGTTTAAAGTATGGATTTTAAAAGGGGTGTGCATTGTACAAGCACAATGTATTACTCGTATTTCAGTACATTTGAAATATATAAAAAGAAACATAGATAGATTGAAGTAAAAATCAATTGAAACATAGTTAAGCCAATGTACTTAAGCTTATTTTATACTGTTTCTGCCAGGAAAAACACAGAGTGTTGAACAAATAGACCAGGCCTCCATTTCAAATTGCTTGCCTGAATCAGAACCTCCAGTCTGTGGAAAAAGTCAATCTGTTGACTGGCCTGAAGTCAGAGGATTGGGTCCTACATGCTCATTTCAGTCCTCTGAATCTTCCAACAGGTACGTAGGTACAAATATATGCTTGCATGTTTTGCCTTTTGTCATCGGGAGCATGAAGTGTAAGAAGTGTACAGAAGTGTAAGTAGAATGTTTTTTTTTAACGAAATTTTATTAAAATTTTAAACTACTACTAAAAACATCAGTTCTCATAGACATTGGACTTACTGGGTCAGCCCCCTACTACATATCTTTTAACATTCTATAATCATATTCAAATCCATTTATAATAACTTGAAGACATCTAGATCAAAACCAAGTCCCATTTCTCCAACCACTAAGAAAAAAAAAGCTGTTCCGAATTTGATAGAAGTCACTATCTTCCTTCTCCTTCATCCGTAAAGTCAGTCCATCCGTTTCTTGCAAAGTCCTGTTTCTCTTAACCAATATTAAAGGAAAGAATCTCCAAGTTGGATGAAAGTCAATATTGTCTTTCTTCTTCACTAATAAGTTCAATCTAAACATTTCTAGACAATTCAAAACCTTTTCATTTTTCTAATAGTAGAGAAATAAATTCCTCACTTCCACAGTTACAAATAAAGTCAGAAACATCCATTTAACATCTTTAAAGACATCTTAGCTAATCTATTTGGTGGCAGCTAATACCTATAATATCTTTTAAACAGGCTTTCTTTAAGCTAAGTTGCTAATGTTTCATCTAGCTTAGTCAAATACAGTTAACTCCTTATAAGAGCCCAATTCTTTACAATCTTTAACATATCTCGCTTATATCTGTCCCTTATGTCATCAACAGCAGTAGCTTAGCCTTTGCATATCACATATAAGTCTGCCAACCCATTTAAGTAATTCCTTTTTAAGATAATATGTTCTCTTATTTTTACTCTATATCATAAAAAACCCAACTTATGTTCACATATCCAACATTCACTTAACCTCTTTAAAAATACCTTAGCCAATCTATTTAGCGACAACTATTACCTGTAATATCTTTTAAACAAGCTCTCTTTAAGTTACTAATGTTTCATCTACCTTAAACATCATCTAATCATATACAATTAACTTCTTATGAGAGCCCAACTCTTTAGCATCTTTAAGGTATCTTAAAGATATCTTTAAGTGTAAGTAGAATGTTGAGTAGATTTGAAAGCAGTGTGTAATGACATAGTGCTAAAACCTTATGATGTACTGGGTGATTCTTCCCCTCCTCCTTCCAGTGATGAAATGCAGATTCTATTGCAGTATAGGTAAGCACAAGTGCTTGGAGTCCCTTTGATCCGTCATATACTATCCTCCTACTTCAAGTTGTCTATCACAGAACCATGAAATCCGTTGCCCATTCCATTGCCTGTTTCTGTTTTCTGCCTATGCAAATATTGTAGAAATGGGAATCTGTTTTTTCCTGGATGTTCATCTACTCTGCTTTCATTGGTCCATTTGGATTTTCAAACATTAGGTCTCATGCATATGAGAACTTGTTATGGTACTTGGCAACAGGTATGGATATTTGATTTGTTGTTTTTGAATGTATTGTCGCTATTTGGGTAGTAACTTTAGCTCTGACAGGCATGATAAGATTTTTGGCTACCTCACTCCCATTTGAACATGAGACTGTGCCATATCATAGTACCATAATCACAATCAGTTTTTGGAAGTCCTCTCAAGTTCAGGTTTAGTTTGTCATGTGGCATAGCCTTCAAAGCCCTTACTCCTGGAACTCATGGGATAGTTCTTTCATGTCAGTCCAATGATGTTTTTTCACTTAGACATATGTTTAAGGGCATTGAACTAGCATCAGTGCTACAACTCTGAAGTGTGACAACTTGAAGGCAAATCTAAATATACCTGACACCTAGGATAACAGGAATACCGGATAGTGTTGCATACAGTGTTAGATCATTGATCCACCTAGTTCACTATTGTCTAAACATACACACACAACTTCTTTTCAACTGCAGGCACTTTTGGCAATTTAATAAACTTATCTTGGGCACCACCACAAAATGGACCCCATAAGGGATATAGCAAATGACAAGTAACCTCCCAGAGGACTGAGTGAAACTTGAACTGGGATCTGAGCCATAAAAGAGTAAACAAATCCTTGAATTCAGCTTTCAATATTAACAGAAAATTTGTTAATTTAAAAAGAAAAGTGAAAGGGTATGGTACCTTGGTGGGGGCAAGGAAAGGTGGCCAGGCATCTGGTTTACCACTGAAATATGGTCACATGAACATGGAAAATGCCTTATACCTATGGAATAAATTTGTTTGGTATGAATTTTAATAAAATTGATCTAATTCACCATTCTGAACTAATACAGAAGCCTGATCACAATAATCCGTCTGTTTTTGCACATCTCTGAGTGTCAAGGTACAGTTCTCTTATGCAAAAATGTGTACCCAAATACATGGATAAGATAAATTTCAGCAGAATAGTCTGTTGCAACATAAACAAGGGAGGTTATGACACCTCGGAGGCTAACAAAGAAATATGTACCCAATTATGAACAAATTTTATGTGGAATTTGCAAGCCGATGTAGAAATCAGATGGAATCAGCATGCCTCCAAAGTTTTGAAAGTTGTAGAAAATTAAACAGATTCCTCCATTCCTACCCAAATCAGGGTGAACTATTGGAACATCTAGTTTATTACACTGATTGGTGGTAGTTCTCCAGGAGTTCAGACAGGGAATGGATTGAACTTGGGACCTTCTCCCTGTAGAGTGTATGCTGTACAACTAAGCAGTAGCCCTTCTTCTGGAAACTTGTTAATGTAAAAAAAAACCCTGAAATTTAAATTTTAAAAGTCATAACAATCTTGTGTCTGTATGACATTGAAAGTTGGTGGTTTTGAGAGTTAATGTTCATTTTTTCATCTTTCGCATGTTTGCTTTAACTAGGGACCCTCATCTGCGTATGATTAGTTGATTCATGCTTCAGTGGTGACCTTTATTTGACTTTTCATGTTTGTTTTTGAGAGAAAAAAATAATTAGACAAGCACATGAGAATGCAAAGTATGTAAAAGAATTTGGAAGGGGAAATTGGCAATGTCTGTTACATTCTGAGAAAACAGCTTTTGAAAATGTAAATTTCCAGCATACTTAAGGAACAGATGTTCCCTATTGTTACAATATCTCTGGCTAGCAGAATGTTAGTCCCTATGCGCTGTGGTCGAATAATTGACCATTGTTGCTATAGTTTTATGCATCTTGGTTTTATGGTTATATCTCATCCTGAAGGTTTTGTGTGTATTTGAAATCTCAGTGTTATATGTAAGTAATAGGCAGCTAAACAGTTTATAGGCACTGTTCACTGGCAGTTTATTTTAGGCACCTAGGAATCTGCTTTATACTGGCTCAGACAATATCTCTATTAACCCAGCATGGTATATTTGGACTTATAGCTTCCCTGTAATTGTGTTCATGTTGTGCTTTCATGTGCAGCTTATTGTCCACTGTGTGGACAGAATTATGGCCTAGATAGACCTTTGATCTAGACCTCTTCTTATGTCCTTAAACCTCTGCCAGAGGTCATCTTCATATCTCCTCCTACCTTATTCATCTATTGCAGATTCCTGGCATCGAGCCTTCTGTATACAAAGTCCGCTCTCTGCTGCTCCATTTTGACAGTCAAGTTACTTAGTTAATATTTTTAAAAATGATTTTAGGCTGCTGTTAAAGTAAAAGGGTTGTAAGCAATTTATCCATGCAACAATCATTCATTGTTTTAGTGTTTAAAAAAATATGTTCATAGAGGGCGGGAGAGGTAGGTCTGGGTGAATTGCTGTACCATATATGTCTCATCTGCTATATCTGTCTTACCCTGAAAGTTACCAGAAAAGAATTGGGTGCTCCTCACGGAGAATCCTCATTATGCTAGCAAGTGCAAATACCTGGGAGATGGTGTAAAACAGGTTTCTTTATTGATAAATTAGCTGGCAAACAGATATGAACACAACAAAAGTTTTTACTTTACTGCATTGGGACTCATGCAGAGATACATTGGGCAAGTTCCTCTGAGAGTAGGTAGTTTTGTTGTTGCTGCATTGGGGATACTTGAATCTGATCCAGAGAAGAGGTGGAAATATCCATCCATAGAAGAATCAGAATGGAAAATGGCAAGGCTGGAGCAGTGAATTGTAAATAGGTGCAGCGTGTCTGAGAGCATATGATTCGGCAACCTTGCTGAAATGAAGCAGGATTGGGTTTGGTACATGTTCAGGTGGGAAACTGCTTGAGGACCACATATACTCTGTCCTGAGCTTCATGATGGATTGAAGTTGAAATACAAATGTAGTCAAGGAGACAGAATTGGATGGATGGAGTGTTTGGGGCTTACAAGGTTTTAATTTTTCATGGTGTTGGATGTTCCATCGCAACACACTAGCACATTGTTCCATATAACATTGTTTGGGAATTGCTGGAGTGGCCTGTATTCCAGGTGCTAGTAATAAGCAGTCCATTTTCAAAAGGTTTCCCTATTTAGTAGATTGCTCTTCATTATATCCACTGTTAAATGATGATCGATAAGCTTTTTGTTTGAAAATATTGATTAGCAGTAGTGCTTTCAATTCATACCTCAGTTGATAATGTTGGACATCTAACAACAGTAATAGTCTTTCATTTTTCCATGTTTATGTAAAAAGTCAGCTTTTTTAGCAGCTTGAAACTCAAGTGCATAACTTCCGAAAGGTGCTGTTGATTATACTATGATGGCTGCTGTTCATCTTCTGTGGGGTCAGTTGGTTTGCAATCTTTTGTAATCTGCATGATGGTAATTTCAGTTTTCTGACACTTTCTCATACTCATAGAGAGATGCTCTGCAGATAAATAATGCTGTGGTTTCAGAGCTGAATGGGCAAATCAGTATAGTTAAAGATGTAAAGATTTAGTTCCTTGAGAAGAAAGGAAATACATTGTTCAGAAGACAGAGCTATCATAGACAGCTCTAATTACACTGAACAAGGCATGTGGGTGCTTTATTCATGGATTGTGCCTGTATTGACATCAACTACTAATTTAGCAGTCAATTGTTTTACTTCAAC